TTATTGTGTAGCTTGGATCTCAGGAGCTCATGATACCTAGCTGTGTAAGAGGAATATTGGCTGTAGGAAGAATGGACCTAGCAGAAGCTGACACAGCCATGTTTGGAGGACTTTTGCTCTAATGCAGTTGGAAATCTAACAGATCCTTCCACATAACAGCATTAGTGTGTGTGTGTGTGTGTGTGTGTGTGTGTGTGTGTGTCTATGTGTATACTTGTGGATGACGGGGTGGCTTTGCCTGTAATGGAGGCAATACTTTGAAAGACCAGTCAAATGGCATGTATTTGGGAGTCTTTGGATCTAGGCAAGTGTATAACTAAAAGGACATTAGCTTAGATGTATTTGTATAAACGTATTTGTGTGTGTGTGTCTGTGTGTCTGTGTGTCTGTGTGTGTCTGTGTTTATGAGACAACAGGGAAAGCAAGAGGGGGAGAGAGAGACAGAGAGAGAGAAAGAGAGAGAGAGAGAGAGAGAGAGAGAGAGAGAGAGAATGGCTGTAGGTAATGGACACATAGCAGGAGAAACGCCTAGTAGGCTTTGGGCTTTGGCTCTCTGTGGGACACCTCACAGGACCTAACACCTAGAGATGTATGTGTGCTTGTTTGTTGTATATGGGATCCCTCTACCTCACAGGACTTAACACCTAGAAGTGTATGTGGATCTTCGTTGTATGGTGTCTGTCTTCGAGGATCTGACAGCTAGGTGAGAGTGCACTGAGATTGTGACGGCATTTGTAGGAGCGTGCATGCCTGAGTGTGTTTCTGAGTGTGTGACTGTGTACCTGGCATTTGATTATAGGGGAGGGGGTGCATACTGGTAACCTAGCTGTATAAGAGTATTTGAATACAGGAAAAGGGATATGTATCAGGACCTGACACCTAGAACTGAGTAGACAGCTTTGTCTGTTATGGAGTAGGAACAGCAGGACCTGACCTCGGACTATGTATGTCTGTCTGTCTCTGTCTCTCTATGTCTGTCTCTCTGTCTGTCTCTGTGTATGTGTTTGGCTGTAGGGAATGGACAACTAGAAGGGCAGCACATAGATGGCTGTGTGTAATTAGGAATTTGGCTGAATGGGGGAGACATTGAAGGACATGACACTGGATGAGTGTTCATGAGAACAGCATGTGTACCTGAGTGTGTTAGTGAGTGTGTAACTGTGCACCAGGCATTTGACAATAGGATAGGGGTACCAGTACTAGAAAACTAGCAGTGTAACTGTATGGAATTTTGGGTGTAGGGGAAGAGGTACATAGCAGGATCTGACACCTAGCTCTGGGTGTGTGGCACTGCTGTAGCTGAGGAGATT